CTCTATCTATATCACTCAGTGAACGTGCATTTTTTTACCGGTAACTATTTCACCTCCCATGACCTTACATTTGTAACATCTGAATGTCAGTTGTGCGTCAAGCCAAACTCCGAGCCATCGAATATGTAGAGAAGGCAAAATAAGCTGTTCACCGAATTTAACTGTGAAGTTCTGTGAGTCTAGTTCCTCCTTTTGCTCTTCCTCGATAACCAGTAGCTTAGACTTAGAGGGGTCGAACTTGATTATTTGCGTTGTAGCAAGCTGGATTATTCAATCTATCTCCTCTTGTATAGCCTTCATAGCTTCACTACGAGTTTATCGACTCCGACAAGGGCAATATTGTCTACATATCCTTTGAAGCTGAGTGTATAATTTGAAACAGTATGAATGAGTTGAGATGATATAAATTGATACGTCCGAAATCTATGGAAGTTGATGTCTATGTGAGCCCATTTACTTCTAGCTCATGCCGAGGACATTAAGATCATTTAACCTCTTACACTTTCAGTAATCGTCAATGTTGGACCAGGAAGTCTATATTTTGGGTATATTCAAGCCACAAACCCTTCCGAGATCTATATTTCTCGGAGCTAACCCTGACTGGGCCTAGCTCAGACGTATATTAAGTTGGTGTTCCGTGGAACTTCGAATATCTCTAAATCTTGGAGCATCTTAACAAAATCGCAACATACCCGCATCTACGGTTTAGAAAGACATCCTCGAGTAGGATTGAGACGTATACCATGAATACAAGTGGTGATCCTTGAGGGACACCGCACTCAACATTTTCATCGGTAACTCCTTCCTTATGCCTTACCATAACTATTCCATGTGTCAGAAAAGATTCTACCTAGCGACAGAATGATAACGGCTAGTCCCTTCTCGCATTCGTGAAAGCAGCCGATTTTATAGTACTGCATCAAGGACACCTTGAATATCAAGAGTGACCATAACTGTAACTTTATTAGATCTCATTGCAGCTCCTGTATTGTGTAAAACTCAAAATGCGAAGTAGATTGCTGAGCGTCCCGGGAGTGTGCCGAACAGTTCTAGAGTTGCTACTTCGTGCTTTACCGCAAGCAAAAATATACGTATCGCATTTAGTTGTTCAAATCTCTTGCCTAATCTGGAGAGTAACGATATATGTCGCTATTCCTTTGAACTAGAAAGTTCTCGTCCTATCAATGGGAGTAGCACGACTTTGTCCACGTTCAAGGATGTGGGGCTTTAATCCGAGCTCAAACATGCCTGGAAAAAACATAATGGTATAATCCTATTGTTTATGTACGTACGATGATAGTTTTAAGAACAAATATCAAAAGCAGTATATCAATTCATTACTCTTCTACGAGATTACTCTAGGCTAAAGCTATATATATACAACAAGGGTCCGTGCACCGTTACTGATAATGTCACGTTTTACCAACATTGCACCTTTAACATCATTCACAGCACTGTGCGAGATGTTGGGGGAAACAAGGTGGGAGAAATTCCTCGAATACATTATTGTAACGAAATGTTATTGAGGTAAAATTCTAGACCGGGTTGCATAGCCTCCTCTAAGAGTATGGGTCCTAATGCTTTTTAAATTGCTGTGAAAATAAGGCATGGCGCAGGGCGCTTACGTTCAGACACACCGTATTATATTTCCTTATCTTTGTATTTTTATAGTTCTTGTGGCAGGTAAAGTCATGCATTTAGGTAGTAGTGAATCCCTCGAGATCACATACCCGTATCTCGCCTCATGGATGTAGGGCGTATTGTTATAATTTGGGATTATACACTTGTGCTGGAACAGCTAAGATAGTTTGTGGGGATACATCTTTTTTTTTTTTTGCATGAGATTTTAATTGCGTATGCAGCTATCTGGCTATGACCTAATATCAGAGAAGTGTATAATAAATAACTCAATATAAAGGAAGAGCACTCATGCCTCAGATTTCATTTGCAAGTACCACTGCGAAGTTATGGTGGCTTTTTCTTCACCCAAAGTCAACCCTCATCCGTGAATACCCACTCAGGGGAACGTCTCAAAAACCCTGAGTTATCCAGACATGCCTCCATCATCTTTCAACTTTTCTTCGCGCGAAATATGGTCTTAGATGTCTCCTTCCCAAGTGGAGTAGGAGCCCAGGCTACTTAAACCATACCAGAGAACACCACCAGGAGGCGGACCACGCCACCTTCCCTCGTTGACTTGTATTTATAGTGTAAGCTGCACACTCGCAAGCGAAGTCTTTGCGCGCACAAGCCCCAATTCGTAAAACTCCTACCCAAAATTCGGAATTTCACGCCCTTCGAGGTAATATCCTTCCTTTGTACCATCTTGTCAACTTGTCCTAATCCCTCTCACGTCCATCCCAAAGAACTGTCTCCCAGATTTTTGCGCCACGCTTTGCTTCCTCCGTCGGGTATAAATATCGGCGTTGGCGTGTATTTGGTGGTCAACTGAGGCCAGAGAAGGTCGGAGAGAGGTATGGTCATTGGAATGAGGATGTACTAGGTCGTACTTGTAGACTTGATGAAGCTCAGTTGAGAATCGGACTCTTTGGGAGTGAAAGATTGACATGGTGGAGTATTTTGAAATTTTGTCTCGTGGGCCAACTTCCTTGATATTGCGAAATTTGACTGAACTTGGCTCTGGGAGAATACATCAATCCCAGGCTCGTAGAGGACACCTCGTACAGATGTTCAGTCTTGCCCTCCAACGTCTTTATCTATCTACAGGTAAATTCCCTATACTTCAACCATTCTATCTGTTGTGTTATCCATGTAACTTACCATGGTACATGCTTTAGGTCGCGTCATAGCATATGCACGTGACTGTGACTGTGGAACTAAACCGTGGGGTGTTTAGTGTGTAATGCATGTGTGGGTATACTGGACCAAACTAGAACTCGATGGAATAGAGATAATGGAATCAGCGGGAGACTGATAGACTGAGAGAGAACGAGCTGGTCATTTCTCGTAGGAGGGAAATGATACCACAAGGGAATGTTCTAGTATTAGGCTGTGAACAACACAGTAAGTCTGGAGTAAGATATAAGGAGGTCTCAACCTCCATCCATTCATTGTAACTAAGTTTCCTTTACACGAGAATATAGAGTGAAGTCTTACATATCACGAGAACACACGCGACAGCGACTACAGAGACCTACTGTGAGCATAACTTCCCCAAGAGTATCCATCGTCCTGCTCCCATATAGCCTAGTTAATATAACACTATCCAAACAGGGCCTCGCATGTAAAACCTGATTCCTATAATTATTTTGGGGTTGAGCTTTACCGTGCATTTTGCTACTTGAGTCGCATGTCTGACTACTATGCGACACGCTCAGGTATCAATCTAATAACCCACACCAAACCGAAATTACTCACAACCCTGATAATGACCCCATGAATAACTGGAACAGTAGCCTGAAAAATAGCACAATTAGGCTAGACATCGTTGACCAGGACCTAATCCGAACAAGAACAAATAATGCAACAGCTTGAATCAATGTTATTGAGGTCGGGAGTTGAGTCATGAGTAGTTCTTGTTGTAGTCTTGGTTGGATCGTGTTAGATAGCTATACTTAAGGAAGCTAGAGCCGCCACAAAGTAGTTCTCTGACTTCTCAATCTTATATGCTTATTGTATCATCATTTTCTCAACCCCGTACCTTCTCGTCATGTCACTTTGTCTGTTTCTCACCTCTCTTATCTCCATCTCCTGGCACCTCGCCGGCTCAGTCTTCAATCTAAAACCTGGGGTACCATCCTCTCGCATTTAACTCCCTAGTCGTTACTAGCATAACTTCAGCAGATGGCGATCTTGATCCCAACTACGACACGCCCTAATAGTTTAATTCCAAAAGCGCTGATTCTCCTGAATTTCCGCAAAGCCTGCACAACTAAGTTCAATACGCGAGAAATGAGATGGATGCCAAAATCCAAATAATGCAGAACTAAGCTCTAATAAAAAAATGCGTTATTTTATGAAGGGGACTATCTATTCTTTGTAAAGGTGCTGTTTATGCTCAAGTATGCGCCTTTAAAGTAACTATTGGTATCTATAATTGCTCCTAATAGACCTCATTATCGAGATTTTGAAGTTCGTAGAGTGTAAGCTGAGAGATCTCTATGTTCTAGTCTAAAATAAGGGCGCCTCAAGATAAATCTAGTACTTCCTCGGTTCAGCAAGAATTTCTCGAAAATCTCTTACTCGGATTGTCAAGATGCTTGGAATGATTCTGTATTTTGATGGATTACAGCTAAAATATTACTACTATCGTCGGAATGATTCATCTAGATGGAATTATTTGGAGTCGGTGGTTGTTGCTTTGCATTAGCTAGGTCTCTTGATGTGTGGATTCTGAAATTCGGATAAAGCATTATCCGAATGTAGGCTAGATAGCAATTCCATAGCATCAACTCAGAAGAACACGAATGAACAATGAATGCGCATTTCTTCTGAACGATAGTTCGAAATACTTACACAAGTACTCTCATAACTTTAAGTGAACTAATAGACTTTTAGTGTATGACCTTTGTCATACCAACAACTGTAGTGATGTATTTATTAAACGCACAGGTCGTAATATCAAAAAAGAGAAGACGAACTAAGCTTTTTCCAACTCTTGTCCGGGTTAAACTTGTGCAGGACACGTGCATGAATCTTGCGTAGATAAAAATACATTGAGATGAAAGAAACGCTACAGAACAGGGGTATTTTCTGCTGTAAATTTGACACTTTTCAATGTCATTAAGAAATGAATTTGAGCCAGTGCATACTTTTCGTCTATTTCATCGCTCGTATATAAACTTCGCTATCCCGCTGAGCTTATCCAAAACGCCTAATAGTTGAAAAAATAATATACTACTCTTGTATTAAGGTGTGCTAAAAGGGTAGATCCGTCATTAATTATTTGCTGTATCATGAAATAGAACCCCTAGACTAGGTTTCATGAACTGCTGTGAAGCTGCCTTGAAAGGAAATTTCTCGTCATAACAAAATGTTCCTCAAGCAAAGTATGATTTCCACAGGACGCCTTCCAAATCCTCTAGCTGCTCCGGCGTAAAATGCTATCTCCTTGTTAGTTCACACATTGAGTAGAGGCAGCAGAAAACGAACCTTTTGATCTGTAATCCATGTATCTTGGCGCGTTTTCTTGAAGTCAGCAAGTATTTGCTTAACTGTCTTTCCAATGATGCCAGGATCATTTGCAGCTCTTGAAGCTAGGGTAGCGAGTGTTTCTGGCATCCACTTAGGAGGCGGTGTCACATACGGAAAAGCTGTAACTAGAGCTCCTAGTCCGAGAACAGCAGCATGCCTTCGGATAACTTTTTGATTGGTGCCAACTGGGGTGTTAGTGCCAGAAGTCTTCTTAGACAATGGAGTTATTCTCAGGATTTCCATGAATTTTTCTTTAAGTGAGGCAATTATATTATTTCGAAATGCGGCAGGGGAGCAGCGAATCATGCCAGATAGCGTGCTAGATGCTCCTTGTCGGACCTCGTGTTGCGGATCTTCGAGCATCTCAGAAACAGCGTCGATGAGAGCTTTTTGCTGCTCTAACTGAATAAGGAAAATACGTCTAAAGTAGATGACTTGCATATTGATTAAAGTCCTCAAGCGCTGATGCCAGGACGTTGATACTTTGCCTATTCGAATCAGTGCTGAAATGAAGCTTTTATCTTGGCCGACACCAAAAGGTATATTGGGGAGATGACGGTATACAAGATATGCAAGGCGTTGTAGCTCGGGGTCTTCTTTTACGTCCATCATGTGAAGTAATGCTTCCATGAAGATATCGGGAAAATACTCTATTAGCTGAGTACATTCGTAAGATTGTAGTGTGGTATCAAGCCAAAGAAGAACTGTTTTGCTGCCCGAAGTATATGATGAGGGCGTTTGTTGGCCTGGCTCTCTTTCAAGACGCCATACTTCTAGACGACGAAAAACATCCTTGATAGTAGTCGTTAAATCTTCTGAAGGAGCATACGATTTGATACCTAGTGATGACGATGATTTGTTTGCCGATAGAAGATCATCTATAGTCATAAAGCCTTCAAAGTAACGGGTGCGGTAAATGGAAGCAATTGTTCTTCCTATCGCCTCTCTAACAGCCTTATATGGATGATCAATGTGAGCGAGAAAGTCTTTAAGAATAGGTCTTTCCAAACGAAAATGCCACCCTGCATCTTGGATAGCAAACTCAAGAATTTGAACTTTTGCGCTTTCTTTGAACGCAGCATTAGAGGTCATATCTAGTCTAAATGATGCAAGCTTTTCGTAGATTTCATGCGCACGTCTTGGATCCCTTCCCCCGATGACCATGTGAAGGCATGTCATCCAATAAGCGATATTTTCGGGTGTCAGCCCATCCGAAAACACTTGAAGTAATATTGGAACGGTATGAGACCATACGATATTGCGCTTATCTAAGGTATTTCCACCGACACAAATGAGTAGGGCACCAATTATTTCCGCCGTAGCACGATGTTGATGCTTATCACTACCATCACCAAAAGTCTCTCTTAGTAGCACATTTAAATCGTCAAAAGTGGCTGCTGTTAAACCGTCGATAGTTAGGTCGAATGTTTGGATCAGCAGCGCAGTATTTTGGACACGGAAGCGATCAGCATCAGAATCTCGAGGCTCCTGCTTCATATATCCGAAAAATTTAGAGTACCATTCCCTAGTTAATAAGGCGCTTATTTGGGCACGAACGCTTATTTCTAATTCATCCCAATCTTTAATTGGAAGTGGTGAGCCCCGACTTGCTTTAAATGTGCTCCCCCATAACAACCAGCCGGGATAGTCTCTATCAACAAAATAATCTGGAACTCCTGGTCTTCCAAATCCATCTAGATAATCCCGCGTCCAATTAGGGTTATCCCTCTGGACTGTAATATCCAGAAGGTTTACAGTATTTTCTTCTTCACGAATGTACTTCTCGAAACTATGTCCATAGGTACCGCGGGTTTCGATGTGATTGAATAGTCGCAGGAAAGACTCAGAATAGCTTACCCTGAGACCAGGATGGTCATTAATACAGCCGTTTACAAATAGCTGCACTAATTCTGGTGAAGCTAAAGTTTCAATCCTGAGACCAGCATTAAGTATAAAAATTGTGCATCGAAGTGCAACCTTCCAGTGAGCTTTCTGTGAAAGTTTGACGAGTTCTGAAGCTAATTCCTGCTTTTTGCTCTCAACCATTTTCCTACGTAATACAATAAGACTATTTCTCGAAGAAATCTCGGTTGTGATATCCTCGATCGGCCGAATACTTTCAACAATCGGCCCGTCCAATAAAATATAATGGTCAAGGGGTTTTCCAAACTCTGAAAGATTACCATAAAGTGCGTTGGTACTGATTTTTTGAATAGAGGGTTTGTCAACAGATGCGGTCCTGATGTACAGCTCCACTACGATAGGTGCGTACCGCCAATCCTTAGAAATGGTTTTGGTCAGGCTTAGGTAGAATAAAGTGTACAAGCATCCTTTAATTACATCATGCTGAGAATCGGTCAATGCTAGTTTGAAGGCTTCCAGGAGAGGTGGTATAACGAGAATACGACCGCCAATCAAACTCTTCAAAGCAGATTCAAGAGCAGATTGAGCGTTAATACGAACTTCAGCATAAAGCGATATGCAAGAAAAGGTAAGGTCAAGCAATAATTGCTCATCAAGATTAGATTTGTGTCTAGCAGAAGCATTGTGCTTTGTTCGCTGTAAATGATAGATTCCAGCTCTCTTGATAAGTAGAGACCTTGGATATACTTTGTGTAGCCCACTGACTTTAAAAGGTCGAATATCAGAATGATATAGCTTCACCATACGCTCAAACATATGAGCAGATCTCTCATTTCCAACGTCTGTAATCCACGTTCGATATGTTTGATACAGAGCAGTAAAGCATGCTACGTCATCTTCTTGATTTTGGGTCAAAAAATCATGGATTTGAGACAAAAGGTAACCAACTTCTTCACGGAGTTTGTGTATCTGAATGTATGCGTGACTATCTGTCTTTAAAAAATATCCGGCATAGTAGAGAAATTGCGGTCTAGTCGCTTCTTCCTCAGTAAATTCACCGAGCAAGGAATCATCTTTTTCATTAAAATCTCTTCTGCTTTCAGCTCTATCTATGTTAACAAACTCATTGGTTTCTCTAGAGTACTTTCCTGAAGCAGTTCTGGGATCGAATAGCGTGGCAACACCCGAGAGTATCAATCTTAACTGAGAGAGATTTCTTGATATTTCATCTGACCACTCTTTGTTCTTACCCTTCCTATTGACCGACGGATTCTCACTGATGAGATTTGTTAAACGGTCATAGGCAGTCTTAACTTGTGTTTCAAAGAGCTCGACGGCGAATCTAACTTCTTCGGCGGAAGGGTTGTGCCATTTTATTGTCAGCTGACCTGGTTCAGTAAATTTGGCCCAGTCGTTAATATCGATACCTTTCTTAAAGACGCTAGGCTCATACATGGCGCCGTCAATGGGGTATATAAGTGTGAGGTTTAACAGTAGGTGATGAATATAGTTTGAGATGTGAATCGTAGGAATGCCTTTGCATTTTTCTTGCATATAGAGAGCAATTTTAAATAATTCTTCTTTATATGCCATGAGGCTATCACCCACGTGTACAATCACCATGCTAAGCATACTGACGTACCAAACCAGGGCACGATCACGAGGAAGCACATCACTTCCACTACTCCTATCTGAGGAAGCATTATTACAATCAATTTCATTACGAATGCCAATAGTTAACATAGGTATGAAGATTTTCAAAGTTTTTTCTGGATTGGCTTTGCAAAGAGCATTGCATAGGAATGCCATCGCGTCTCGAGACTGATGGATAACATGGCTTCCTACAAATGTGGCAATCTTGTCAAGTGCCTTATCGAATATTTCTGGAGATAAAGCTGCAAATAGTGGCGCCATTGTCGCAGGCAAGGTATTTATCACATTTTCCTCTGGAGATCCAGAATGGGCTTGGGATAGCTCAGGCAGATTTTCAAGAAGAGTGAAGATTTTCCCGAGTAACGATAGAACAAATTCCCCAAATCCGGCTGTAGATGAGCAGAGAATGTTTGCCTCATCTTGGTCACTCAGTTCAGTTCTGTAGTCAATCTCGATATTGGGACCATCCCTTTCCATGCGCTCCATTTCTCCCTGTACCCATTGTATAGCAAGATAAGAACCTGAAATTTCAGGGTTTGCTTGTGCAAGGTCATGAAATGGCACGCTGTACGCCACAGCCGTTATGAAATTCAAAGTAAAGAGTGTCTTTTGTAAGTCATTTGCATCGATGCCCGGCAATGCCAGAGCGAGTAAAGCCGTTATATGACATCGAAGACCTTTGTGCTGGGATAGAATATTCGCTACCATCTGTAATCCACAAAGGGATGACTGAGTCCGATGAACCTCAACAAGCCCTTGTAAGGATGGATAGAATCTCTGTAGAGCTCCAGGTAGTACTAGATGGGGCTCAAGGTATGAGAGGCCTTGAAGGGCACCAAAAAAGTAGTTTAGACATTTGGCTTTTTTTGAAAATATGCCAACAAACATGACTTCTCTAAGGCTTAAAACGAATCGTCTCTTTAATTCGTCATTTATTCTGCGTTCGAGAGGTGGGTTAAGATCTCCACTCTGCTCACGATTCCACCGCATGACGAAAAAATCTACAAGGTAAAAAGTTATCTGTGAAAGTATTTCCGTCCAGCTACCTTGGTTCGAGGGATGGAAAAAAGTATCGACAGATTCCATGAGGCTCTCCAAATTTGAAAGTATAGAGCCAGCTTTGTCAATACACGCCGGTGATAAAGACATGGCAATCCATCTAGCAATTGAATAAGCTACTGGATTTCTTTTTTTGTCTTTCTCTAAAAGCATGCCAAGGCCAGCTCCTAGATCAACAAGTCCACTATATGGAGAAGATGCCTGCCCCACAGGGATCTCAGTCAATCTTAATAAAGCAGTAAAAATGATATCAGACTGGTCCTTGGTGAAAATGCCATGTTCAGTAAATGGAACATGCTCGTATGAGAGATGGTCTCTAGCTAGTCGTGACAAGACATCAAAGAACATCACGTCAACAGCTTTAGATCTGTTGACTAGTGACCACAAATGAAAAAAAGTAGGGAGGTAATCTTGTGGCTTTAGATGACTTGGATCATCGGACACTGCTTCCGTTGGGAATAACATGTTTAAACATCCCATGACTATGAAGGCGCCCGAAACGTCAGAAGTGGTGAAATATGTAAGAATTTCTTCCAGCATTGGTTTTCGATCTCGTGGATCGAAATAAGTTGGTGCATAATTACACATGGCCACGATACTTTTATGACTTCTCTTTCGACCCCCTGATTGTTGTTGAGCCCCCTCGTGCGGTAGCACTATAGATTTGAGTTGCTTCCAAAGAGGACGCCAGTCTAGAGTCAGATCCTGACCAGGCTTCAAATATCTTTTCCTTCTAGGAGATATTAGGAGATATATTTAAAATTCATGTGCCTGCCTGCTTACTTGAGTAGAAATCGAAACATACTTTCAAACCTATCAGAAGCGTTTCTGTCCATGCCAGGGGCCAATGTAAGCATGTAGTAAAGCTTCACGAGCCTAGACCGTAGCTCGCGTGAAAGGTCGAATTTCAAGTTCATCCAGGCTCGAAGTTCTCTAGTCCAATGAACAGCACCAGGTGTTATATCTTCAGACTTAATGGACAGGTAGAGCTGCTTCAATATTTCTTTCAAAGCTTTTTTCCTCTCAGCTTCTTTTTCAACTGGGTAAGGCAACAACTCTGAGTATGGAAAGGTTCGCGGTTTATCTCTCGTATTCTCAGCCATTATTACGCTATTGGTATTCGAGCAAAGTCTCGGTTCTCCTGGCTGTATCGTAGACCCACTGACTGTCACATTCTGGATTATACTTGGTGACATTTTCATACCATCTGTATAGAGAGTGTTCGATTCCTCTTCCATTTTAGGAGATTTTAGAAATGGAGATTCAAAGTGATACCTAGAGCTTTATTTATATTGCCTGGTGAAGTCTATAATTTTATTACCTAAACACACTTGTACTCAGCGACCGGGTAAATATAAAGATTGTAGACTTGAAGAATGGTACTTGAAGCAAGGTACCTTTTGGGCGATGATATTCGATTTGGGGGTCTATCTCTTATCAAGAGCGATAGCTATGCATGGATAAGAGAGCGAGCCTATTGTGTATTAAATATTAGATTTTTGATATAGTTACTGAAGTGTAGGTACTCGACTTCTAAGATTCGGTGATCTTCGATGTAGAGTTTTGAACTGACTGTTGCTTGGATGCTGTAGTAGCGTGATGGCAGCGACGACCAGACTTAGCCGAGCTGGTCAGCGAGGAGACGGATTGCAGTACTTAGACGGTCACACGGCATGTTAAGATAAACAAGTAATTAATGTAGACTAATAAAGTTGATCGAAAATTAATAACTCTATGTCCACGGGTCTACGTAAAACGTTCCTAAAGTCTTGTACAGGGCATTTGGCTGGCGCCACAGCATCCACACTAACTAGGCTATATATCACAAAAGGAGCAAGGCAGTGAATAAAACAAGTTATCAAGACCTCGTTTAGCAAGTGGGCACGACTCCACTCCAATTTATCAGATTCCTGGCTTCAAGTATGAGAATCTTGTGAGTTCTATACGTTTCGCCTCAGATGGTAGTATGAATCCAAAAAACTTCACCCACAACTAATATAAAGTTATTATCCTAGTTTCATTTTTACAGTGTGAGCTCGTGGTTACAATACTTCGTCAGATTTATTTCTATGCTACATTTATATACTGTCCTACAAACTTTCACAGTTACCCGTGTGCAGAGCGTTGATTGATGGTATAAGCTCGGTGAAATATACCAGCGATCATCGCCTTAAAACGTCTTGTTCGATGTATAGTCTCTGTATTTTTACTTTTTTTTGATCTGGCATCATAACTAAAGTCCTCGTGCAGTAAATTACAACGGTTATGGAATAATAGTGTCTGTTTTAATCCTCTTGTACGAGAATTTGTGTCGGGGTCTGCCTTAGGAGAATAGGTAGTCGGTAATTGACTTAATTTCGATACTTCTTTTACCTCGTCGCCGTTAAAATTTTCAGGAAAAATAAACGAGTTTACATTAAATGGATCTTTTTCAAATTCATTTGAAATTGTGCTTGGTGTGTGACTCATACGGCTTGCAGCCACGCGCTGTACAAACGCGGTGCCCGATGAAGCCTTTTTTTGCGATATTATTTTTGTTTCGATAGTGGATGAATTTTGGTTGGCTTTCCTACATCTAAGAGAAGCCTGACGCATGATGTTACCAAAACTAGTCACTCGCGGACTGATGGTAGAGTCAGGTAGGTCTAAAATGTCAATATCGGAACAATTAAGATTCGTATGCGGCGTCATAGACGAAGATCTTGATCTTCCGCCAGGTTGCGAGCATGTTGATGAACATGCGATGGCTATTGCGTCATTATATTTAAAATTTGGGCACCAACCTTGACGCAATGATACCCAGATTCCGGTAACTTGAATTAAAGCCTCCATTTTCTCATCGATTTGATAAGTTGAACACACTGTAGCCGATAAACTTTCAGGGTTTTCATAACATTTTGTGCTGACTTGGACTGATGGCTTTCGATGATAGTTCCCTTGCAGAGATGACTTTGCGCTGTAAGAATCCAGAATTTCCAAACTTTTGTGGCTGATAGTTGCCATTATCGGATTTTTTCGTGTGTTGGATTCAATTATGCTAAATGCATAGTGTAGATCGGCATTTATATTAGCATAGTCTAAAGACTCGATGCTTGTTCGCTTGGGATATTTTTTGATCCACCAGTGAGCAATTATCTGGTGCCCGTCTTTGTCTGTTGTTTGAATTTCATAGATACCACCGGGTAATGGAGTAGCGGTACAGACACTCCCATCACTTAAAACTATCTCTGCGACGCCCTGAGAAGCTCCCCTATCTCTTGGCATTTGACATATTACAGCCAAAAGATCTCTTTTAGCGATGTCACTGTTGCCTGATTCCCAGATCTTCTCACTGCTTTCTACGGCTGTATCATAGTCCTCACTTTTGACAATTATCACATCATTACTTCCTAGCTCTCTTCTACCCCGAAAAAGACGAGGGAATTTCTTTGCTAGCCGAGGAACTAATACTGTAGAGGGGATAACGTCAAGAGAAGGTTTGGGTCGAGTCTGCGCTGTCAGTAATTGTAATTGGAGCAATAGTTTCGGGCGAATCTGTAGAAACTTTTGCGTTTGGGTCAAAGTTGGGGCGGGGTGTGCGAGGTAAAAAACTGAGGCTTTTTTATGGAATTTATTGCGCTGCTTTGAATTTTCTTTTTGCATTCTATTGTCCTTGTCACTGATAGAAGTCGGGATTTCCTTCTTGAATTCACGGTCATAATTTGGGCTTAGTTGATCGTTTGATAAGTTAGGCTGAACAAGATGTTCTGACAATGGTCTTTTGGGTAGGGATCTCCTTAGTCCAGAACTTTCGTTTATCGTATTTCTTCGACCTAATGGACCTAAGGTGGGCGATGCTTTGCGAGATGAAAATCTTTGCGGGGTACAACTGTTCTTTTGAACTTTCGGGGTTTCAAGATAATTTCTGCAAGGTATACCTTCGTCATATTGCAAATACATCTCGGAAAATTTCGATATACATGGAAAGCTATTGTCCGGTTTTTGAGCGACAAATGTCAATCGAGCCGTGACCTAAAGACTGCAGTTAGAACTCTCCCGAGCCGAATTCAAGATAAAACATACAAATTCAACTTAAGCTGCATAAGCAGGAGTCAAAGTAATGCTCGTCAGTGATAATTTACCCTTAGAGACATAAACAATTCTGACAAAAAAGTAAGATTACTGTGAAGATTGAAGAGCTGGAACACTTTCGATTTTTATTATCTTTTATATTATTTTCCGTGAACAGTATGTAGAAGATTTCGAGGCAAACTTTTATTACTGAAAAGGTATCCTGCCGTGCAAAGGGTCTGATAGTTAGCCAGAATCATTGAAAGGCCTGTGAGTTAGGTACAATGTGCATACCGCTGGGTGTATGCAGAGCCGAGGAGCAGAATTTAAGATTTGACATGCCGGACTCGTCGGGATTACGAGCAAGGTCACCACTAACATACACAAGTCACCACTGGAATAATCGGACTTACTCCAAAAGTTGGGTCAGCAGTCCGTACGCAAATAATGGTCTGAACCCCTGGCCAAAATACTGAGATTTACAGGGGTAAATTAAAGAAGGCTGGCACGTGCCGTGTAGGGATGTAGGCTTAATCGGACAGGCAGAGAGGAAGAGAGAGGTATGTTTATTGTACTACTTGAGTCGTAGATTATCTATCACATTGGGCTCCTCACTGGCTCAGGCCATACCTCATACAGTGCTCCTATTCTCTTTTGTTACTTATAAATTCATTGATATATTGCATGTGATAAATAGCCATTCAGCCCAGTGTTTACCCGTGGAATCAAGCCACCTTTTCCACGTAACCTTCTGTTGAGCTGGCTCTGTTGAGTTGTTCGGAGACAGGGGAATGGAGGATGGGCTGCTGTATTAGGAAAAGGTGGAAAATACAGGCTGGTGCACAGACGCTGTTCATGTATTTTAAAATCACTTCACCTGCCGTACATAGTGAACTAATGTATCCAAAATAATGTCATACTTCACATCATCCATTAGATGATACTATCAATCGTCGGAATGCGCATCTAGCATTTTCTATATAGATAACCATTGTCAGTAAGAGTTCACATTTGATACCTACTGACACCCATTAGGCCACAGTGATATGCATTCAGTGTCCATCGTGCCATCAACCAGCGTGAGCGCGCCATCTCCGCGACTCACCATTGCACATGAGCCCATGCTACTCCACCGACGGACAGCAGAGTCATAATTGCCATCTATCTCATAGCTCATAACCACAACAACTTCTACCCAAAATAATGCAAAACAGCAGCAATCGAAACTGCGTGCGCGGGAAAAAGTCTCCAAAAATCTGCAGTCCCAGCCAGGCGAGGCCTAGACACCGGGACCACATAAGGTGCGCATATTAATCTATATTTCCCTTCTTTGTAACAGTCGAGGCCGACTTGATCCAATCCACCATCGCCGTATTGGGTGCTGGGTACGCTCCGGAAACTCATCGGATGGCTTTTCCTCCGTGATCAAGATTTGGTGATGAGTAGAGCTCCGACCCTACCATCTGATCTGATCGTGGTTAGCTTCATGATAACGGTGATAGGGGAATGTGTTGAGAGATGAAGACGATACAGATCGCGAAAGCGATTGGGAATCCTCGTCGGAGGGAGGACTTTGTTACTCAATCTCGGCTCTGCAGACTCTACAGTGTGACGGAAACAGGGTTGGTGATGAATAAATCGATTTAATAAACTGTATGAGGAGAAAAGCTAGCTCCAGCAACTACTAACAGGTATTTATAAGAGTTTATCCTCCTCGTGAATCTACAGACTAGTGACTTGTCCTTAGGCATAATACTTCTTACAAAGCCACGTATTTCCAGGTGTCACTAAGTTGTAATGACGCCTCAGCCTCCTGGGTAGTAGTGCCGTTTCGTTCAGCTTCATCTCCCCCCCCCATACAGCCTCATCGTAAGAATTCTTAGTATCAAGCTCAGGTATCCACCTAAGCTCAAACAACGGTCAAACCGTAACATACAGCGAGGGCTGGAGGCTCGTAGGGGACACCACTGACAGGTGTTGAGAATAGTCCCCCGATTACCATCGTAGTATTTGGTACCTCAATATCTTTTCTCATTCCCAGCGTCGTTATCTTCGTCTTGGTAGTCTAATGCATTGTCGGAGGCGTATCTTTGACTGAGGGGGAGGTAATTCAGCTCATAGTTGAAAAGGTGTCACTCAAACTTGGCATTATAGACTCAACAGTGAGAGCTGGATGCTGTGCTGGTGATGGCTAGGATTACAATGCACAAGTGTAATGATCTTTTTTTTTGCATCAGATTTTAATTACGGATGCAGCCGGCAAAGACGAATTCTTCACCTTCCAGTGGTGCCGGTGTAATCGCTCAGAATGCTCTGCATATCTGGGATAGCCAAGAAGAATCGCATCCGAATTGAAGTCGAAAGCAACCTCATAAACATTTCCATTTGACAACTTCTCGACAATGCCTCTCTCATCATCATCATCTGAGTCCTCAACCCATCTCTAACCACGCATCATCTCGCCTCGACGACCAACAAAGAAGTTGCTCCAATTGCACACAGGAGCTTGCCCCATTAATCTCCAGCCATTTCTCACTACAAATTTACGACGCTATTTATACCCGCAAGGAGGAAATCAAGTCAAAAAATTACAAAGCCTGGGTCTTGGCTTATGGGGGACTGTTGCTCTAATGGGACAAACAACTTGAGGAAGAACAGGCGGCTGAGATGTGGAGGGAGAGGTGGAATAGGTCTCTGAAGAGCATGCTGGAACCGATATTTTCGAGGGGTTTTCAACTTTGGAATGTTTATGGGCACCAGGACCGAGATTTCGGCTTACTTGCCAGGAAGACTTCTTTTCTCGATGATTCGACAGCACTCTCAAGAGCTCTGGACGGCACAAAAGAAGCTAGGCTAAGCTACTATACAGCAATCACGCTCTGTCAAGACTTTTCTGACATCTCAGCACGACCTTCGGGAAGGAGTTGGAAGGAGGCTAGAAAGGCAGAGGGTGGATCTCCCGAGGTACCCACAAGTCTGCAGCGCCCAGCTGGCCGGCCTCTTCGAACGCTTCAGAAGGGGCACTATGTCTTCGGATTTAGTCCTAATGTCGGTATTAGGAGAGCTCCGCACCCAGTGGTTTTTGCGATTTTTCCCGGCTGCCATTCACCCGCAAGTGGCCATCGTTTCGTTGGCTGGATAAGGGAGATAATGAAGGGCAAAGGATTCCTCGAAGTCTGTAATTAAATTAGGAATTTTGGGAGAACTTGTATGTTCTATATATTCTCAGACTGATAAAAGTCAATTATTGAATAGAATTAACCTTTAGAAAAGATACGTGGGACACGCAATAAGAAATCATCGGTGATAGCAAGCAGTCAACATCATTTTTTCTTCCAACCCAACCCATCCCATCCCACATCGCATCACTCACTACCCTTTTTTTACAAGAATCTCCAACCGGTGCAATGGCCCCAGCTGTTGCATCGTCATTGACAACGTCCTCCAATCAAGGAGGGCAACTTTATCCAAGCCTGCTTGGCAGTATGAATGCAATGTAAAAAGTAGAACAATAAAGAAAGGAAAGGTTGGGCTTAGCCCAGCAGTTTTATTAACTATTCGACTCCTGAGCTTAGAACAAAGGAGAGAAACAAGCAGCAGCAGTCATTGCGACTCTAATGGAAAAGATCGCACCTGTCATAACTGTCTTTGCTATAGATCAGGTAGAAACAAAACCCCTTTAAGGTAAGAAACACCTCACCATGGCAATCACTCCCAAGCCAGTCGTGCCTTGAAACAATATAGCTGTTAAGGATCACAGCCATACCATACACTCAAAGCCTCAAGACAACAGCTCGCCCTGGGTGACAGTAGCCCGCAAAGCGGGAAAGCTACCGACGCCGCCAAAAGTACAAGTTCTGCGAAGGCCTGCACCAACAGGCAACGCGAAACCCCAGACAGTCCAAAATTAGGACAAGCACTTGTTCCTAGGATAGAGGAAAGATCACCACTGGCACAAGTTATCAACAGTCACGATCAAGAAAATAATCCTCGACAAGGCTGGGATAGCAAATTCCACTATTACGTCCACGTACCCAGTTAGGTCGATGATCGCTCTCGAATGCGTATCAGATGCATTTAGAGATACAATCATGAGGATCGCACCTTCCATACAGGAAGACCGCACTGTGATGAAGGAAGCGTCCAAATGGACATCATTGATCGTACCTCATGTGCCATTGTATATCAGGACGCTCGAAGGTAGCATTCTAGTCACCAATAACATGGTGAAGAACGAGTGCTAAGCAGTATGTGGTGCCACACTAATCCAGGTAAGGCCCACAGAAACAAAACTTGGCCAATACTCAACGAGCTGGATTGTTCATTTCCAACAAAAACCAGCAAATGATAAGTTTCGTCTATTTGACGAGAGCGGACCAGCCATTCCCTTCTCGCACCAAAGACCGATCGAGCAATGCCAACGTTGCTGGGGATTCCACACAACGCGGTCCTGCACCCGGAGCCAACGATATGGGAGATGTGGGGGAACCCATGAGACATCAGAGTGCCAGGCAAAGGTGTCAAAGTGCTCAAATTATGCTGGACCCCACCACTCAAATGAGGGCAGCTGTATGGCCCGGCCCAGACGACAAAACGGGATGATTCTGCTCCGTACCCCTGCAGAACTTCATATCATCAGAGAACGCGGAAATCGTGATTATCACGCTGCTCTAGCTTACTCAGAAAGGAAGGGTATGGCGGTCGAAACCGTCATTGCCTAGGACTCAACAATGTCGTATTAATGCAAGGAAACCCCTCAACAAAAGCACCAAAAGACAAATACAACACCGTCTACTTTCACCAAGTGAATGTCGGAAGAGGTGGGGAAAACACGGATATATCATTGCAGCAGGCATGGGATGCCGGTGCACATGTAGTTATGATACAGG